GGCGGCGCGGGTGCGCCCACCGATGTGTCCAGTTATCGCGGGGCGGCCAGCTGTCAGGTCACCTCGCAGGTTTGTGTTGTTTCGTCTCGCCGCTCGACCTCGCCCTTTCGGTCTCGGTCGGTGGCCCTCGATTGCCCCTCTGGCCCCCGTCGCTGCGTCGTCGCCCGCAGGTGATGGCGCGGGGGTTCCAGGAGTGGCGAGCGGCGAGCATGCACTCACAACCAGCAATGGATATCTACCGCATCTGCACGCGCTGTGCTTGGAGGCAAGCACAGAGGCATGTCCGCATAATGCAAGCTATTAGAGAGCGCTCGCGGGCCGCAGCATCGCCTCGAGAAGGTCGAAAGGATGAGGCTCGGGTTGCCGCCGAAGGAGGTGCAGCCAAAGGCGAAGACTCGGTGATCTGGGGACTGGCCTGGCGGGGCGAGTGGGCCCTTTTGGCTCGCTCGTCCCTCTAGGCAGTTTCTTGCTTAAGTGGGGCGCGACGAGGACAGTCAATATCTCATTGCTTGTTTGTTTTAGCCCAAGAGGCCGCGCCCACGAAGCACTTCAAACCACTTCCTCCGAGTCGAGATCATAACTGCCCCCTTAACCAGGGAGGCCCCGCGGATGAAATTAAAGTCCCGGAAAAGGCGACCCCCCGCTGAGGATCCACCAGAGAGCCTCGTCGAGCACTTGGAGGCCCATCGGGGTGAAGCGCCAGGCGGAGTACACTAAGCCGTCTGGCCCAGGAGCGCTATCGCGGAGCCTCTTCAGGTGCTTCTCGAGGCCAATCAAGGTCGGGGGAGGCAGATCTTGAAGAGAAACTTTGGGAGCGTGCTTATCTAGATATTGATCAGTGCCCACCTGGCTAACGTTTTTCTTCACGCCGAAGACTGCGCCCCAGTGCTGGCCAAGCAGCTGCAAGACCTCGGCGGGATCCCTGACGACAGCTCCGCTGTCGGTGCGGATGCCCTTCAGCGACATCCTCTTGTCGAAAGGCGACCAGAGTTTGCCTCGTCGGGTTTGCCCTTTTCACATGTCGTCTACATGTCGCACTCGTCGATTCGTTCGGAATCTCGATAATATCTCGTCGAAGTCGGGCTTCTTCCTGCTGGCTCATTTCTCGCCGCATCGTGTCCGAGACAGAGGCAAAATCTATCGGGTCTGAAAGCTTGACCACCTTCTCGACCGCGTCGATCAGGAGGTGGTCCCTACCCAATTTGCTGCTCGACCTGATCTTCTCAGCGAGTTTGATATATTGTCTCCACATGGCTCTGGCAATGGATTCGGCTGCGATGTACCGAGAGAAGAGACTATCAAGCGAGCTTCCCAGCATCTTGTTGCGGGCCACTCCCGCAGCTTCCCTCATCATTTTCGTCGCAAAGTCCAGGGCCAGCGGCGGGGGAAGCTCGTCAACTGCAGGAAGAACCGAAACCTTGGAAAGGTACTCCGCGTACTTTGGGTGCCGAACAACCTCCCTGGGAATGCTCTGGAAACTTTCTTCCACCTCTTCATTCGACTGCTTCGGGATGCTGCTCGACGCCGACGCGACAACAGGCGCAGTCGCTGATGCCCTGGCGGTGGAGCACCCCTGGCATCTCAGCGACAGTGCCCGAGATCGTGAGCTGGTTGAGCACCCAACCCGCGAAACTGACAAACTGCCGATCAATCGAGGTGAGCAAGCGCTGCGATGCATGAAAATGTGTCGGGTCTGCTACCTGCAATTCTACCATATGTCTTAGGGCCTCCATCAATTCTCTATCCTGTCCCTTCCTGCATTCCCTCACGTAATTTTTGCCCTGGCTATCTGTGATGCTGTTCTGGCTATCTATGTTGTTGTTGCTCTGGCTATATGTGTTGATATCCTGGTTACCAATGTTCCTGTTCTGGCTATCTATGACGCTGTTCTGGCTGCCTGTGTTGCTATTGCTCTGGCTATCTGCGCTGTTGTTCATGTTACCAATGTCGATGCTCTGGCTACCTATGCTGCAATTCTGGCTGTCTGTGTTGCCCCTGCGCTTCCAGCACCCATTCCGAAAGTTTTCCTCGATCGGCGGCTGGCCGGCAAAGTTGACGTCTCCTGCCGCAGCAACCAGGCAGGCATCTGGGTGAGCACTAGCGCGATCTAGGCCCCCCTGATCTTCGCAACGACATGACGTTTCTCCTCTCGGGTGAGCCGAAAATTGTGAACAGTGCAATGGGAAATCCAGACATCCCTGTCGAACTCGATCCGAACATTGAGAACCCTCCCTGGGATCAAAACTCTGGCTTCCGTCTTCGGTGCCCCGGGCCCCTGGTGAGCGAAGTTCGGGAAGAACGCGATCACTCCCCCAGCCTTAGACGAGGGACACAAACTCGGTGAAGCAATCACCTCCTTATTCATGTGGTAGACGAGTCCTTGGACTTCTAGCTCTGTCCCGTGGCTCTCTTGAAGGGCGAGGATGGTGCCAGGGCGAAGGAGGGGGCGGAGAGTCCTCAGCTTTCGGTCACGGGTAGCGGGGAGGTGATGAAACAGGGCGCGAGTTCCACGTGGCAAAAGTTAGCTTCCAAACCTGATGTTCATGTCTCCAGCAAGCAGAAAGTTTGCGAACTACTCCACTCGATGTTCTCCTTCTGGCTGGCGAAGGCCCGGGCAAAGCGTTGGCGCAGGTAGTCGACATCAACTCCTGCTGCCTTGCAATTGTCTGGTGCAAATGAAATTACTGGCGCCTCATCCCCAGGGCGGGGCTCGGCTCGGACCAAAGGCTTCCACATGCGACTGATATACCCCTTTCGTCTTGTCTCCGAACGTTTTGATGTCTGGGTAAGCCTCGACCATGCTGGCACGCATCTTTTAGACATATAACTCCCTTCTGGCCATATGTGGGTTCTTGTCGCTGGACAGGAAAAGCTCGTGCTTCTGACCATCGACATCCTCTGCGCTGAATCGTTGCCACCTGCCGTTAGATAGTCGTAAACTTCCATGAATCTGAAGAATTCTACGCTCTGCGAATCCCCTGCTGCCCCGAATCTGATTGAGTACCTCCTCGAAGCAGGCTCTCCTTCCACCGTGTAGTCCTCGGGGCCGACGTTGTTCCTGGCCAGTATGTCTCCCAGCGCGTCGATGACCCCCTGCTTCGGTAGAACTCCCTTAGATCTGATAGTGAGAATAGCTGTATCAATTGCTCTGTCGAAGGTAGTGTCCACTGGTTTTGGAGGCGGCCGTTCTTCCTTAATTCCCCCCGATCGTGATGCGTATGGTGTCCAGCTCCTGCCTAAGCGCGGCGATGTCTTTTGCCTGATTGTCCAGAGGGGACTCGGCCTGACACATTCTTCCTTCCACCTTCTGGATAGCGTCGAGATTGGTGTTGAACATGGCTGACATGCTGTTGACCGTTCCAGCGAAGGACTGCAACGTGTTCTGCATTGCTCAAAGGGGGGCTCAATAGTAGACTTGTGCTCATCCAGAGAAGTACGAAGACCATCATTCTCATTCCCCCCACGAGGCCTTTGACGACGCCCTTCTTGACTGTTGAACGTGGGCATCGCCTCAAGTTTTTCTGCCATGCGTGTCTGATTTGCTTCACTGACGGGAACCACGACCGCCATGCAGATGAAAAGAAATGATGCTTGCAGGAAAAGCCATGGTCCCTGCCTCGGGCAGGCCTCTGTGGGACCACTTCGGTGCCACGTGGGGGCAATCTCGAGACGGGAGGTTCCGAGTCCCCAAACGGCGATGTCTTGAGCCAAAATGGCTACGGACCTCCTCCTCCTCCTCCTCCTCCTCCTCCTCCTCCTCCCCCCTCCTCCCCCTCCTCCTCCCTCCCTCCTCCTCCTCCTCCTCCTCCCTCCTCCTCCTCCTCCTCCTCTACCTCCTCCTCCTCCTCCTCCTCCTCCTCCTCCTCCTCCTCCTCCTCCTCCTCCTCCTCCCTCTCCGCTTTCCTTATACATAACTCTTCCTTGTGGCGTTTCGCCTGGGCGTTCCTCACCTCTTACGATCCCGCAGCATGAAGTTTGCAACAGTTTCAAAGATGGAGGTCGGGTCCTTTTTCAAAATGTTGCTCTTGCATGCCTGCTTGCCTGCTTGCCTGCTTGCCTGTTGTTCTGCGCGCGTGGCTGTTAGCCAGACAGTTGTCTTCCCGACGTCAATGCCAGCATGCTGGCAGGCCTGGCGGTCGCAACTGAACCTCTGCCGCACGTCACGGCAGCGGGGATGGTCACCAGCCGGCCGCGGGCAGTGCAACGGCTGCTTGTTTTTTGCTGCTAGCTACTAATTGCTGTCGCTGCTGGCTTGTGTGCTGCCGGATATGGAGTCCGTGCTGGGGGGCCCTATGGCCGAAACTATTGGGGGCCTCGTTGGGCCCTCTTGGGGCCGTCCTGGGCCGTCTCGGGGTGCTCTGGTGGGCCGTCGTGGCGCTCTCTGGAGGGCGTCGGGCCGTCTAGAAGCTCTCCGAAGCCTTCGGTTGTATTCTGGGAGCCCCCCCGGAGGCCCCGAAGACAACCCAGGAGGCTCGATAGGGGCCCCCAGAGGGCCCAAGCCGTCTTCCCCGAAGCCGTCTTGGAGCTGTCTCGCATCGAAAAGCCTGCGAAGCAAAAGACATACATCTTCCTTTGGGTGTTGAAAAGCTTTGAAGTTCCCGTGGTCTTCTGGACAATTCCTGCAAGCCCTTTGGGGGAATATCTAGGGGGCCTTATGGAGGCCTCTTGTAACCGCTTGAGATCTCTCGGGGGCCCTGTCTGGCGGCTGTCGGGGCCAATTCTGGCCAGTATAATCGAAGGCTGTCTCTGCGACGTCTTCGGGACCCAGAGCCCACAGGGACAGGGAGGCGGCAGTGCCGACGCCTCTGGAGGCCGAGCACGCGACTGGCCCACGCACTTTGCTCCAGAATTGAGGGGATGACGATAGCACCGGGCTCCAGCTTAGCCTCCCGGATCTCGCCCAGCAGCGCCAGAGGCGTCTGCCATTGCTCGCCCATCTCCACTCGCGGGCCCCAGCGCTGCAGCTGAAATCAACTGGATCGTGTTCGACATGTACCGTATCACTCCCCTGTAACAAAGTCACGCACCTCTTCGAATAAAGACCGCGCGTGGCTCCCTTGCCCGCCTTGCTCGCACATGCTGGCTGCAGCTCCGTAGAGCATGAAGTCGACGTCCAACTTTCTCAAACGCATGGTTCTGAGCATGCTCACCGCATGTTGCCACTGCCCACCGTTTTCGCACGCGCTGATCCCAGCGCTGTAGCTGATGATGTCGGGCTCCAGCTTCGCCTCCCGCATCTCGCTCAGCAGCGCCAGCGCCCGCTGCCACTGCCCGCCCTTCTCGCACGCGCTGACCCCAGCGTTGTAGCCGATGATGTCGGGCTCCAGCTTCGCCTCCCTCATCTCGCTCAGCAGCGCCAGCGCAGGCTGCCACTGCCCGCCCTTCTCGCACGCGCTGATCCCAGCGCTGTAGCCGATGACGCAGGGCACCAGCTTCGCCTCCGACATCTCGGTCAGCAGCGCAAGCGCCCGCTGCCACTGCCCGCCCTTCTCGCACGCGCTGATCCCAGCGCTGTAGCTGATGACGTTGGGCACCAGCTTCGCCTCCCACATCTCGCTCAGCAGCGCAAGCGCCCGCTGCCACTGCTCGCCCTTCTCGCACGCGCTGATCCCAGCGTTGTAGCTGACTAGGGCAGACCTGTGGACTCCGTCCACGACATCAGCTCGACGTGGCGAGGGGTCTCTGGGCAAGCGCGGCGTGCCTGTCGCCTCTCGTCCGCTCCCCCGCTCCTGGAGGGAATTCTGAAGCCACTGAAGGCTTCGTGGGGGCCGTTTCGGAGCCTCTTCGGCCTTCTTTTGGGCCTCCCGGGGGGGCTCTTAGGGCCCTCTCGGGCCGTCTTGGGTGCCTCTTGGGCCGTCTTGGGGCCGTCTGAGGCCCGCCTCGGCGCCTCTTGGGCTGTCTTGGGCCGTCTTGGGCCGCTCCTGGGGCCGTCTTGGGTGCCTCTTGGGCCGTCTTGGGCGCCTCCTGGGCCGTCCTGGGGCCGTCCTGGGGCGTCTTGGGACCGTCTTGGGGCCCTCCTGGCCCGTCTTGGGGCTCTCTTGGGGTCCTCTTCGGCCGTCTTGGAGCGGTCGGGGGGACTTCTTGGGCCGTCTTGGAGCGTCGGGAAGCCGAAGAGGCGAGGAGGCCGAAAACATCGAAAAACACAATAGAAATCGACGATTTCTGTCGCTCGGGGCCCTCTTGGGAGGCCTCTTGGGAGGCCTCTTCGGGCGTCTTGGACGCCTCTTGGGCCGTCTGGGGCGAATCTCGGGCGTCTTGGGCCCATCTTTAAGCGTGCCGGGGCTCTCCGGTGCCGTCTTGGGGGCTTCTGGGGGCCCTCTCGACATGTCCTGGAGCCTGCCTGGGCGGCCCTGGGCGGCCCGGGGCCAGCCCGGGGCGGTTTTGGTGCATTGGAGCCTGCGCCATTCTGGCACGCACTGGGCCCTGCAATGTAGTAGAGATGATCCCAGCGTTGTAGCTGACTAGGGCTGACCCGTGGACTCCGTCCACGACATCTTTCTGGAATGGTTCTCGGAGGAACGGCGCAAATTGCACCGAAAATCTACAAACACGGCGGCGGCTGGGGCGGCGGCGGCGAGTTTGGCGGTTCTCCTGGGCGGTCCCCTCGTCCGCCCCCCTCGCTTCGAGGCAGTTTTGAAGCCCCGTGGGACCTCTTGGGGACCTCTTTTGGGCTCCTGGGGGCCTCTTGGGCCTCTCTGGGCCCGTCTATCGCGCCCCTTGGGCTGTCTTGGGGCCCCCTAGGGCCTTCTTGGGCGGTTCTCGGGCCGTCTTGGAGCCGTCTTGGGCCGCTCTTCGGGCCATCTTGGGGTCCCGTTGGCCTGTCTTGGGCGCCTCTGGGGCCGTCCTGGGGCCGCATTGGACCGTCTTGGGGCCCTCTTGGACCGTCTTGGGGTCCTCTTGGGGACCTCTTCGACCGTCTTGGCAGGTCTTGGATGCCTCTGGGGTGGTGTCGGAGCGTCGGGAAGCCGAAAAAGCGAGGAAGCCAAAAAACCTTGGAAACAACAAAGGGAAATCATCGATTTTGGCCTCTCGGGGCTCTCTTGGGAGGCCTCTTGGGAGGCCTCTTGGGAGGCCTCTTGGGAGGCCTATTGAGCCGTATTGGGGAGCTCTTGGGAACCTCCTTCCAAAACCGTCGTAAAGCGGACGATTTTGATGCCCCAAACCGTCCAAAACCTCATGAGGCGGTCCCCTCGTCCGCCCCCCTCGCTTCGAAGCAGTTTTTAAGCCCCGTGGCACCTCTTGGGGACCTCGTGGGACCTCTTTTGGGCTCCTGGGGGCCTCTTGGGCTTCTCTGGGCCCGTCTATCGCGCCCCTTGGGCTGTCTTGGGGCCCCCTAGGGCCTTCTTGGGCGGTCCTCGGGCCGTCTTGGAGCCATCTTGGGCCGCTCTTCGGGCCATCTTGGGGTCCCGTTGGCCTGTCTTGGGCGCCTCTGGGGCCGTCCTGGGGCCGCCCTGGACCGTCTTGGGGCCCTCTTGGACCGTCTTGGGGTCCTCTTGGGGACCTCTTCGACCATCTTGGAGCGGTCTTGGATGCCTCTGGGAGGGTTTCGGAGCGTCGGGAAGCCGAAAAATCGAGGAAGCAAAAAACCTCGGGAAAACCAATGAAAATCAACGATTTTGGCCTCTCGGGCCTCTCTTGGGAGGCCTCTTGGGAGGCCTATTGGGCCGTCTTGGGGAGCTCTTGGGCCGTCTTGGGCCAATCTTGGGTGTCTTGGCCGGATCATTGCGCGTCTCGGGGCCTTCTTGGGCCGCCTTCGGGGCATCTTGAGCGGCTCGGAGCCGTCTGTGGGCCGTCGGGGCGGCCTCCGGAACGTCTCGGAGCCGTCCTGGGGCCGCCGGGGCACCGAGAGCCCCTAGGCTTGTCCCGACCCTTCCCGCACCCACGTGCTCCTGCATTGTAGTAGAGACTAGTGTGAACCCGTGGATTAAATCCACGGCGTGCTGAGCCTGGGACTCGCACACCGTAGGTAACCAGCTCGTCGACGTTGAACAGCTCTGGCGTCCCTTGGGCGGTAGGAGCGACCTTCGGAGGCACATGTGACGGCCACGTTTGAGGGCAATGTTGGGGGCTGTGTGGGGGCCACGTTTGGGGGCGCCTGGGGGCTAGGCGTGGGGGTGACGTTCGGGGGCCACGCTTACTGGGGCGGTAGGGGCGACCTTCGGAGGCTTTGTGTGGAGGCCGCCTTTGTGGGTCCCGTTTGGGGGCCACGTGGGGCCGACGTTCACAGGCCACGTCTAGGGGCCACCCCGGAAAGCAGTCGGGGAGCTCCAGGGGCACTGACCTGGAAGCGTGAAAAGAGATGGGTTTTTGCTAATCGCGCCGGGCCTAGGCGCGATTAGCAAAAACACAAGGGTTTTCAGGCACAGTCAGAGTGAGGGGGGCACGTTTGCGAGCCTCGGTTGGGGGCCGCGCAGGGAGGTCTCGGGGCCATCTTGGGGGTCTCGGGCCGTCTCGGAGGTCGCTTTGGGCTCTCTTGGGCGGCACCTTGGGCCCTTCTGGGGGCGTCTTGGGGCCATCTTGGGGGTCTCGGGCCGTTTCGGAGGTCGCTTTGGGCCCGGTCGGGCGGGGTCTGGGGCCTGGTTGGGGCTGACTTGGGAGTCACTTGAAGCTCTCTTGGGCCGTCTTGGGGCCCTTTGGGCCGTCTGCGGGCCTTCTCGGGCCGTCTGGGGGCCCTCCTGGGGCCCTCTTGGGCCGCGCAGGGGCGATGTGGGAAGCCCCCTGGGGCCATCCTGGGCCGTTGTGGTCCCGAAGTGGCGGGATCAGGAAAACCCTCGAAACCTTCGGAAAACGGATAAGTTTTGCCCCTTGGCGCCGTCCAGGCAAACCGCCTCCGGAGCCTCTCCAGAGCCGCCCAGGGCGTCTTTAAACCGCGCCGCCCGGGGCCGCGGCGTCGGAGGAGCCCACCGACCCCCGCCCCTCTCAGACGCGCGTATGCCTGTAATGTGTAGTAGAGATGACGTTGGGCTCCAGCTTCGCCTCCCACATCTCGGTCAGCAGCGCCAGCGCCCGCTGCCACTGCCCGTCCTTCTCGCACGCGCTGATCCCAGCGTTGTAGCTGACTAGTGTGCACCCGTGGATTAAATCCACGGTGTGCTGAACCTGAGACGCGCACACCGTGTGTGTGAGCCGGCGAAGGCGTAGCAGAACATAGCATCGGAGCCGAACAGCTCCTCGAAGATCTGGTCCGTAAAGCTCCTTGGGGGGTGGGATGGCAGGGATGGAGGTGGAGGCGGGAGGAGAGCAGATAACGGGATTAGGGGCGCTTGACTCCGGCGTTCTCGTGCCGCAGGCCACGCTCTGGGTCGGATCGTGGAACAGTCACAACGGGTCTGAAATTCGTCCTCGTGGCTTGAGGGCTGAAGGGTTTTGGCCAGTACGGTCATTCCTTGTGTCCACGTCCGGACGAAGCTCGGAAACCCTGTGGGTTGGGGCCCTGGGAGAAAGAAGGGCGCGTGTTTGTATGGATAGTGGCAGAGCTGCGACTTCGTGAAAAGATGCTGGAGAAACTGGACCCTCGAGGTTGCCCATATCCGTGGATGGAGGGCGTTCGTGCTACACCCCGTGGAAAAGCAATGCAACTCATCTCTAAATGCGTCCCAGGACCCCTCCCTGTGTCCATCCGGCGCAATTGTCCGCCCCGGGTCTGTGCCTCAGGGGCCCTGGGCCCGGAAAAAGCCCCGAGAGGCCGAAGTCTGCGGATAACAAAAACGGGTGAAAAAAATCCACCAAAAAAGGTGCAGTGTTTTTTCGGCCGTCAGTCCATGTCTTCAACAGCGGCTCTCCGAGCAGGTGAGGACGTCACCGGCGGAGGCGAAGAGGGCGCAGAGGGGACGGGAAGGGTCAGATCGGGGATGACGGCGAAGGAATGGAGAGAGGAACGGCATGTCGGACGATGCGGCGGCAAAGGAGATGGCGCCAGTGGTTCAACCACCAATGTCCCCGACGTTATCGGGCGTTCCTGCGCGGTTCGGCGTGTCTCGCATAGTCTCTGGGACGGCTGCACGTCCCCAGACGTGCCGGGGACTTTCGCGGGGCTCCTCACCAAGCGCCGAAGACGGTCAAAGAGCGCTTCAAGACTCTGAAGATGGCCCCCAGACAGCTCTAGAGGCTTCCAAGATGACCCAAGAGGCCTCCAAGAGACTTCCCAAGTGGGCCTCACGAGGCAAGAGTAAGAGCTTGTCCATACGTTGGTACAGCTATTTGGGGTTCGAGCTTTTTGGGTCCCATCGCTCTAAGACGGCCAGGACCGCTCCAATATTGGTCCAAGACCGCCCAAGGCCCGCAAGACGGCCCACGATGGCCTCATGACAGGCAAACATTGCCAGAAGACGTGACGCAGAGGCCCCAAGAGGGATCGATGGAGAGAGTCCCAGGGAAGCTGCGGCCCGGAAAAAATTATGTGCTTCGAGCGATCCCCACCATCCTCTTCTTCCTGCTCTTCCTCCCGCGGAGTATGTGATCACCTGCTGCTCGTCGGGCGAGAAGGCGGCGTCGCGCAGCCGGTCCTGGTGGCCCGACAGCGTGGCCGGTCCCAGGGAGCACTGGGACAACTTGGGGTCTGGCGGCCGCGGTATGCAATGTGGGGGTGTGGCCGGGGGGTCTGTTCTGAGAAATCTAACGACCCCAACCTGTCGGGTGGGGAAGAAGGCGGATGTCTTCTGTCATGCTCTGTTCTGGTATGTGCTGTTCTGTCATGTTCTGTCATGCTCTGTTTTGTTCTGTGATGTTGTGTTCTGTCGTGTTCGTCATGTTCTGCGCTGTCATGTTGTATTCTGTCGTGTTCGTCGAGGGCGCGAGGCGGGATGGGGCGGGAGCCCCAGGGAGCACTGGGACCACTCGGGGTCTGGCGGCCGCGGTATGCAGGGTGGGGGTGTGGCCGGGAGGTCTGTTCTGAGAAATCTAACGACCCCAACCTGTCGGGTGGAGAAAAACGTTGGATTCACGATGCGCTGTCCCGTGTGTCCCTTGCAATCGCCTGAAACGCATGGTGTTTTCGAGAATTGCCATAACCTGTCGTATTTGCAAAGTGCTTTGGACGATGCGGTCGGCACGGCGCCAGCAGCGAAATGCGCATTTTCCTAATGTGTTTGGGCCGATCTGAAAGGACACACGGGGAAAACGTTGGGTTTCGGAGGTTTGTGCGGCGACGTCATGGACGGGCCCATGTGGAAGCTTTCAAAGCGAGCGGCGGTCCATGTGGGAATGTCGCGGGGCTCTAGGGAAAGTCGTGGCGGGCCCAAAGATCGCCCGCCCTGGTAGAACGCACTCGAAATGTTCCAAGAGAACTCGGAAATGATCTCCGGAGAGCTCCAAAAGTCAGAAGAAACCCCGAAAAGCATGTGGGAGAAAGTGCCCCACCGCCAAGGCACGTTGGCGGGGTGCGCCGAAGGCCAGTGTTTTCAGGACATGCGATTTGTCAACGTCGTTCAGGCTCTACGTGCGCGGCCGGATGTCGAGCAGTGGGTACGCGGTGGGATGTCTGCGCAGGAGCTTCTGGAAGTCGCTAAGCTCACAGAGTACAGGCTCCGCAACACTACGTCCATCACCTGGTGCGCTGTCCAACTTCCAGATTCGGCCGGACACAGCCTTCACCGCAATCCAATGTGCGTTGTTCTGGTTTACCACGACCCCGACCACGTTAGGCGCAAAAATGTTCATCGCGTCCTGTGGTAGAACGGGAGCATTGAGGTTCAAGGAGAAACTGTTTCCGCATCGTTGAAGCACAAACGCCAGCACCGCCTCGGAATAATCTCCAGAGGGGCTCACGTGGTCGCGCAGGCGCTGTGGGAGGCCGTCTAAAGCGGCATGCTCGATGAATGCATGGGCGGATGCCTCCATGGTTCCCTCGTCGAGCAGCGCGAAGCCCAGGGCGTTGTTGAGCGCGTGCATGCCGCAATGGGCGCCGCGCTGCCGCTCGAAGAATCCGGTGAATCGATCCCTCTGCTTCGATGAGCTGGCGGCCTCGCATCGTAGCTGTGTTGAGGGCATGGGGTCGGCGGAATCTGCACTGGGATTGTCGTTCTCTGTGGCTGCGCATGTTTGGAACAGCGTCTCAGGAGGCGCTGGGGCGTCCACGACTGCTCCGCGCTGGCGCAGCGGTGCGAGGACGACGTTAGCAGAAGCATCGTCTGGGGGCGCCGGCCCGAACTCATCGATGTCGTCTGGCCCGTGGTCCCGCGCGAAGCGTCGCGGCCGAGCAGCGGGGCTCGGCGGCGCCTCGGAGCCCTCGTCCAGGAACGCCGGTGCGTCGTCACTGCTGGAAGCGGCGCCCGCGAGCGGCATCTCTGTATCTGCGCGCGCGGCGGGGTGGGCAGGCGATGGCGCTGGGCGGGGGTGGCTCAGGAGCGCTTCTGGCCAGACGACGTTCTTCGTGTACGTGCCAGTGGGATATGTATCCGAAGCTTCCCGCGCTCCGTGTTCGTCAGTGGTGGGGACCAGTGCGAGGATGCGGTTGGACGCCCCGACCCGGCTGAAGGCCACGTATAGCTGGCCGTGGGAGAACACGGGGTCTGGCAAGTACAACCCGACGTGCTGCAACGTCTGTCCCTGCGCTTTGTTTATTGTCATGCACCATGCCAGCCGCACGGGAAATTGGAAGCGACGCAAGATGAACGGCAAGTCCGGGTTCCGAGGCGCAAGGGCGATCTTGGGAATGTATGCTCTGGTGCCCGCTTGTGTGCCAGACACGAGGAGCACGTCGAGGACCCGGGGCTGCGCGCGGACGACGATGGCGCGAACTCCGTTGACCAGGCCCGCGTCGGCGTCTAAATTTCTGAGCAACATGACCAGGGCCCCCGGCGCGAGCGCGAGCTCGTGGGGCGGCAGTCCAGACGGCGTGAGGCTGTTCAAGAAGTCCGTCGGCCAGAGGTCCCGCTCCGCCGGCGACGCGGCGTCCACGTCGTCCACGCTGTAGTACGTGACGGTCGTGTCCGGGAAAGCTTCGCGCAATATAGCGACGTTCACTGAGTCGGCCGTCGCGTTCTTCGGAGTGAGAATCGCCCTATCGCAGAAGTACTGCAAGTCTTCGGCGGCCACGTCGCCCCCGACGCACCTCGCCGCTGACGCAGCGATGTCGGCGTAGATGGCGCGCGCGAGGTCCTCCGGCCCCCAATGGCTGGGGGCGACGATGTTGTCGGGCAGGCGCACGGCCTCGGGGTGGATGTCCGGAAAGGTCGGTGCGCGGCCGTCTCCGATGTCCAAGAGGAAACGCTGCCAATCGGCGTCGCCCCTGGCCCGCATGTTCTCCGTCAGGGCGTGGACCTCCACAACGCCCGCGCGCCACAAAGGGTGGTTCAGCAGCGAATGCTGAACGAGGTCTTCGCGGGCAACCCGTGGGATGACGGGGAGCACCTGGCGGAAGTCGCCGCCGAGGATCACCACCTTGCCGCCGAATGGCGCGTCCGTCTGGGTAACGTCTCGCAGCAGTGCATCGACGCATTGCAGTGCTCCCCGAGGGGCCATCGGCGCCTCGTCCCAGAGGATGACTCTAGCTCGTCGCAGGATTTCGGCGCGGCTCGTCTGGAACCCGATGTTCGAAGCGACGTCGTCCAAGGGCAGCGGCACTGGTAGTCCGAAGCGGGAATGGCATGTGCGTCCCCCTGGCAGGAGGACAGCAGCGATCCCGCTCCAAGCGCACGGCAGGGCGATCTCTCCCATGCCACGCACGTGGTGGAGGATGGCCTTGTACACAAAGGTCTTGCCCGTGCCGCCGGGGCCGTCGATGAACACGGCGAGCGGACGGGCTCCGATGACGGCGTCGGCGACCTGGTCAAACACGATCGCTTGCGCGTCGTTCATCATAGACCGATGGGACCGCGCAGATGTCCATTCCTCTTCTGCGTCGTAGGCGGTTTCCCTACGAACATCTCGGGGCTGCAGGCCCGCGACGTCGTGGTCCGTGGGCGTTGGCAATCCGAAGTCCGTCAGCGTCTTCCCAGCCTGGCTGAGTGCCTCTTGAACGTGCAGAAGCGCTGCGTTCTCCGAGTCGGTCTCGCTGAGGTGCCGCTGGAAGTCCTCGCAGAGGTCATTCGCGAATCGCTGCCACAAGGTCACGGGGGAGGCGAGCTCGCAATGGAGGAGCAACATGGCGAAGAGACGGCGCAGCGCTGGGGCGCTCCGTAGGCGAGCGGCCTCCTCCATGCAGCGGGCGTACTCGTCGCTGGAGTTCGCAAAGCCTTGTTCCTCGCATGCTCGCCGGTAATCTGGCACGTCCGAGTTCTCCCACGTGGAGGTGTCGTCGTTCCATCGCCGCTGGTAGAATGTTTGGCGATTGCCGTCCGAATGGACGACGGTGGCGAGGTCCGAGAAACTGGTGGGCCCAGTCACGTGCAAGAGTAGTCCGCGAGCCCGAGGCGCGGGGCCCCGGGCGGCGAGAGTGGGATCCCAGATTGCGCCGAGGGGGATGGGGGTGGGTCGGGTACGGGGATCGTGGACCTTTGAAGGCAGAAGAAAGCGTGCGTCGCGTGCCTGGCGCAGTCGCGAAGCGAGCTGCATAGATACAAATACCATCTGGGACCTTCTGTCGGCGTGGCAGTGGCCAGACGCCCGAGTACTCGTCCAGCTGAACCAGCGCCCCGCCTGCGTTGCCAGAGTTTCCTGCTGCGGTTCCAGGAGAAGAACTGCGGCACCTCGGCGTAATGCAGCGAGCGAGCCGGAGGCGTAAATCCGTCGGGCGGCTCTGCGTTCAAGCGGAACCACGCCGTCAAGGTGGTCTCGCTGCCCGCGGCCACAGCGGCCGCCTCGGACCCGTCCTGGAAGTATATCGTCTCGCCGCCGCGCAGGTGCACGGCCAGGCGTTCGACGGTGTGCGATTTCCCATGCAAGGGGAACGCCAGCAAGCGCCAACAAGCTTCTGGAGGCCCCACGTACCGAGCGTCGAGGAAGTGCTTGATTTCGTCGCCGTCGAATTCCAGGGCGGCCCGGTCGTGCCCTTTGTGCACGTACTTGAAAAGGTACTTGACGCAACGGATGCTGCCACAGTACTCCACGTTGAGGTGGCACCCCAATTTTCTGGACAAGTACGGGTTGTACGGCACAACGTCTCGGGCGTCGACCTGCATTCCATTCTTCATCGCCGTCGGCGACGACTTCCGTCGTCGGTACACTGGGTACCCGTCTCTGTGCATGTCTGTGGTCTCGGTGAACTCCCGCGGGTACCGCTTGGTGCACGCCCCCTCCTGCATGCACGGAGCGCGCGGATTGCGGCAGCCGCACGGACCGTGGATTTGGGAAGCCAGTATGATTCTCAATAACTCTGACTGCTCCGGGTTCGCTGGATCAGGCAATTCGGCGCTGATGCGCTCATCGATGTCTAGGGCCGACCTGGGCTTGTCGGAAGCTTGCATTATGATGAGGAGGTGCACGTGCGGGAGCCCCCGTTTTTTGAACTCCACGACAAAGCAGTTGGCAACTACACCGCCTAGCACCCTCTCTCGCAACAGGAGATCCAGCAGATGCTGCATCTTGGTTTGGAAGACGCGAGCCACGAGATCCGGGCGCCCTGCAGCACTTTCCCCCTCGCGCAGGGCCGTCTGAATCTCGGCCCAGTTCGGGTTCGCAGTCATGGTGATGAAGAAGTCGGGTTTCCCGAAAGCCCTCACTATGGACATGGCGTCGAGGTAATGCTGGTGAAGAGCGCGGGGTCCTCCCGGAAAGGTCGGAGGCAGGATGACCTTCCTGCCGACTCTCGTGTGGCCTTGTTGAAAAGCGTCGCTGTGGACGGCGTCGTGGAGGCCCTGGTACGTTTCCGCCCTAATGTCGCCCTGGTGCTGCGCGTACCACGCCAGACGGTTGCTTTCTGCTCGGCTCCAAGCGTCGCAGAGCCATGTCTGGAAAAGCAAGCCTGCAGAATGCGGCAGTGACGGCTGTGTCGTCGGCCAACGACCTTGCGCGGCATCGTCAGTGTCGGGCACGTAAACGCGGAGCATCAAGCGGTACGCGTAGAACTGGGCACACGTCAATGTCGTTTGAGAAGCTGTTTGGCGGCCTGCGTGTTGCAGTCCGTGGCGCCATCCCGGGTCCCCGCAAGGGAACAGCAAGGGGTACGCCATGGGGTCGAGGTTTTCGTTTTCGGGCCATATTCTGATGACTTCTGTATCATCTAGTCGAGGCCACACAGCTAAATCCCGGGTGCCGTGAAGCACGCCGTCGGAGCTGCGGAACACCACGGCTGGCTCGTAAGTTTGGGGCTTGTTGTAGCGGCGCATGTCCTGGCCCTCCGTCTGGGAAATGCACAATTGCACGTTGGTGGGGTTGTGGTTGCGAACGATGTCCCGCATGTGTCGGAACTGGTGCACGTACGGGTTGACCCGGTCGAGCATGCGCTGCAAGTGCTCCACGATGTCGGCGTTGATCCCGGAATGATAAGGGTTGTCCGTGCGCGCCTTCACGGCCTCGTTGTGGTCGTACAGGTACACCTGGGCAAACGTGGGGGCGTCGCCGTCCCGGGGGAACAGGTAGCCCGAGTTGTGGTATACGGTGCCGTGGCAGATCACAACAGGTGGGCCGCGCCCTGGAGCCTGGTCTACAAAGCAAGACGCCCCGTAGGACACGAAGGCGAAAGCGTGGTTGTACATCTTGAGGGCGGCTCGCGCTGCTTGGTGCGTTCGCGAAGTGCCCCGCAGAATGTCGAGTAGCTCTGGCGGGGGGCATGGCGGCGTCCGGATCTGGGCAGGAGTAATCTTGCCGTTCTGGCAGCAAATGCTGAAGTGCCCGAGCATGCTTGTCCGAGCGTTTGCTCGTTGCACCCGCTCTTCCTCGAAGTTGTGGGAGCCGCATTGGTCACAGACGCTCGCGAGGGCGCTCCCCTGGTGCGGGACGAAGAAGCTGTCCCTGTAGTCCGCAATAGATGCGACAGCGGGGCGTTCAGCACGAAGTATGCGGTCATGGGTCAAGCAATATCGAAGACCCGCGAAGCTCGCAACGGGAGGCGCAGCGCACCCCGAGGCCCAGGCGCACTTGGAGGGCGCCGCCGGGGAGGAGGCCCCGCCGGCCGGGCCATGGTCCACCGTGGTTCTGGGTATGGGTGGACGCTTGTAGGAGAAGCGTCGTCGCACGTGGTCGTGTGCACATGCGGCTGGGGGCGGCGGAACCAGGGTCGGCGCTCCGGGCGGCTGCTGTGGAGGAGGCCGCTGCGGGGCTGTCGCGGAGACCACCCGCGCGTGCAGGGGACAATAGAAAATGCCGGTCGCATGCGGCCTGGTCGTTGCGTCGGCGCCGCAGGGGCGCGGGGGAGTCGACGGGAGGATGAAAGTGCACCGTCGTCTGTGTTGGTTGTGCCACGACCACCCGGGTAAAGATTCCAGTCTGTTTTGCAGGTCGGCAGGCAAGAGCCGGACAACGGTAACGCCTTGTTGATCGTCGTGAGGCCCAGCGGCGCGGCGCGGAACAGAGTGGTACGCAGCGCGCTGCCTCTGGATCCACCCAGCAAGGCGCAGTTCTTCTGGCGATGTCGAGGACGTGCCCATGCTGTCCGGGAATGCGCCGCAGTGCGTGCGCAGCCACTCCTGAAGTCTCTGGTAATTGCTATCCCAAGACGTCTGCTCCGCGAACGTGTCCCATCCCGGCAGAGCGCGCAGGAGCTCGCACCGACGAACGGCAATGCCTGCATCGGAGGCCGGTGATCGGTTGTACAAACGGCGGCAGTTGTCTGCGAAGGTACGCAGAGACTTCTCTGTCTTGGAAGCGTTGTTCGCTCTCGTCGGGTACCGGTTGGCGTGCGCACGGAGCCAGTTACGCAAGCTGTCGTAAGACTGGTTCCAAACACTGTCCTTCTGACCGGCGCCCCACGGGATCCACCTCTGGAGCGCCTGCGCGCGCCCCTCAGTCAGCCGGCGCGAGCGCAGGAGGTGTTCCTGTTGTCGCGCCCACTTGTTCAGGCTCCTCTCCTCGAAATCTGCAGCAGCAGCTCCTTGTCGGGGCATCCGGCCGCGCTTTGCGTGCCATCGTTGCAGTGCATCGAAACGGGCGTCCCAATCGGCATCCCATGACCAGTGAGGGCACGCATCCAACGCGCGCACGTACTCAGGGCGCAGATGGCCCGAGGCGCGCCGGGCCCGTTGAAGCCCGGCCCAGTGCGCGAAGCGGGCCTCCTCGGGATCTCGCGCCCCCACTTCCGCGGGGGGTCGTGAGTGCGCTGTGATCCAGCGCTGGTACGCCCGGAAAGTTCCCTGCCATCGTTGCCCCGCAAATGTGGGTCCGCTGCCGGCCGCGCACGGGCGTTTGCGGGCGCGCGCGGGCATCCCAGCGCGGAGAAAGCGTTTGAGCCGAAGTGACTACGGACGACGCGCTGGTTGCCCGCGGGGGGCTGGCCACATGCGGGAATAGTACAGGGAGATGGGGGCGGCGCATGGAGTAAGGGCACTGAGGCCCCGGGCGAGGCGATGAAATGTTTGGGTCTTCTTCGGGGGACCATCGAGCCTACAAAAGAACATGACTGCTGCTGGGTTCATATGCTCGTCAGCGTCGAAGTCGCAAGCCGACAAGACCGCAGGACGGACAACGGAGTCAATGGAGAACACACCGGGATTCACGGAGTCAAGTCCCAAGGGTTTCCTGGGGGCCTGAGAGAACCGTCGGATTCACTAAGGTTTTTCTCGTGTGTCCCTTGGAATGGGATGAAACACGCTGTGTTTTCGAGAACTGCCCGAATGTGCCGTCTTGGAAAGGCCCTATGGACGATGCAAACGTGGCGGCGCCAATCACAAAATGTGTAATTTCCTAAGGCTTTTGGGCCGAGTACCGAGGACACACGGGAAGAACGCTAGCTTTTCTAGGTGTGCGCGGGGGCCGACAGTATGTGTTTTCATCGGTACGTTGCCACGAGGCTGGTGCGCTGAAACAAAAACACGTCGCTGGCTTCAGAAGTCCTGGGTGCTCAGCTGGCGCGCTAAGGCTGGGCAACAATCAAGCGGCCGTGGACTCGCTCTGCACGTACTTCCGCACGCAGAACGGTGAGAGCGCCGATTGCGATGGGCGAGGTAATGGATGCGCGCCAGGGTGCCTGGCGCCAGCCACGCCTCGCGCAAAGCACGGCCGCGCTGAAATGCCGATGAGGACGTTGCGGAGAAGGCAGCGAACAAAGAATAGCATTGAACTTAAGGCGGGGTGCCGGCGCGCGAGTCGCAGAGGTGCCCCCTTGCATGCAGGGGCCTCCGAGCGCTCGGGCATCGGGCTGACCAAAAAAGAGCGCGCGAGGTTCGCGCGGCCGTCACATTTTAGAAGGCGTTGAAATAAATCTGCGGGTTTCCGCGAAACTCGTCCAGCAGTTCCTTGACGGGCCCGTCGGCGGGAACCGAGCTCTCCTCCAGCACGAGGTGCACCAACAGATCGCGGAGAACGCCCTGCTTGAAAACGTCGCGAATGAAGGCTGCGTTGTCGGCAATGCTCACGTCCGTGCGGGCCTGGGGCAATATGCGAACGTTGTCCTCCCGGCCAATGCGCTTCAAGTCGAAGCGCTCGCGGTAGGGGAAGGTGCGGCCCTCCCAAGCGAAGAAGACGGTCTTCTGGTCGATCACCTGGACACGGACCTCAACCATTTTAGAGGAACCAGGTGGGGAGCTCTCGAATATGGAGCACTGCAAGGTGGTGCTCGGTTCGTTCACCGTCATGGGCATGGTGATGTTGTCCGTGTTGAAGCCGTCCATTGACACGTTGACGAATGGGTTCACCACCATCTTGAGAGTGCTCAGGTCCGGCCAGGGGCTCTTGTCCGCGGGGCGGCGGTGCTGGGCCCTCCACCACGAGAAGTCCGCGATGAGACGCATGCAGTGGAAGGGCTCGTCGGTCCAGAACATGACGCTCCACTCCTGACAGGATAGCAAGACGGAGGGGGGGGGATTGGGTTGCGTTATTGAGGCGGGTCGGTTGCGTTCCTCCGAGGGTCGCTATAAGGCGAGGTGTGGGGACAAAGACACCGATGGCCGTCGACCAGCTGACGGCCTCGGGCGGACTTGTCATTCCGGAGTCCTGTGGAAGCCGGGGACTTTACATATGATGGCCTATTCGTGCTGGTATCGGTTGTCCCCGAATATTCAGGACAACGCGAGTGAGGAGGCGAAAGGGTGAGGTTTGCGGGCGGCGGTGTCCTTGAGCGGCATGTTGGTCTGGACGCGGCGGCCCTCGACGTCCTTGGGCGTCTGGGTCAGGGAGATGATGATGCGCTCGTAGTCCTTGAGCTCCTTCAGGTCGGCCGGGTAATCGTCGTTCTCCGCATTCTTTTCGCCCAGGAACATTTTGAAGGAAGCGAGGATGTCCGAATCCACCGCGGGGAAAGCCGCGTGCCGCAGACGCAAGCCGAAGAGATCCGTCTGCGGGAACCCGGGAAACACGTCCGACCCGCACTTGGTGTAGAGCCAGACGAAGACCTCGATCGGCGCGCTGTTGGGCTTCTTCGCTGGCGCCTTCGGGGACATGCCGACTGCGGCGCGCTGGCTCAGCGCCTGGGAGGGGCCGGGGAGGGGGGGTGCAACAGCAAGAAGCTGGAGGGCCCTGCGAGGTAAAGATTCGTGCGACGGGAGGCGGCGCAGGACGAAGGAACACCTGGCGAGTGAAAAGGTTGGTTGGGGGCCTGGGCGTGAACATCGTCCGAAGGAAACGTTCGGATTGTCCGGGAGGGTGGGCCTGCAAATCGAGAGGGCCGCGCACTTGGGCGCCACTCTGCGCGGACGCTGCGCCGGGGCTGCCGACGACGCTGGCCGCGTTGTCGCCCTTGCGCTTCTTCGCTGCCGGCGAGAAAGCCATGGTCGTGAGCGGGCGCGAGAACGCGCAGAGGATGCTGGAGCCAATTGGGAGGCTACCGAATGCACAAGCGTGGCGAGGAAACGACACCCCATGCGTCGCTTCCGATGTGATCCTGTATTTGGAACTCCCTCTGGAATCACGATTTGTGCGAGGAAAGCATGGTCCTGCACCTTGCGACGGGTGTCATGGTGATCATGAAAGGCACGGATAGGGTCGTCTTAGCGATGACGGCAATGATGTTCATGATAATGGTGGTGATGACGAGGGCGATGATGAAGATGGCGGTGATATTTATGATGATGATGGTGATGACGATGATGATGATGATGACAACGATCAGGGCGGAATGGCGGGAGCCTGTATGGTAAGCTGCGAGTGAAAGGCCCCGCCCGGTGGTTGTCGGACAATCCATTGAAAACTCGAGCGGTTTCTCCGTGTGTCCCTTGGAATGGCCTCAAACACACTATGTTTTCGGAAATTCTCAGAAAACGCTGTCCTGGGAGGTTCGCGAAAACGGCCCTGCATGGGCGGCGGCGTCGACGGCATATAGCCATTCCTACTGGTTTCGGCGCCATTCCAAGGGACACACGGGGAAAACGTTCGTTTTTGAGTATTTTTTAAGGGAACGCACGGGAACGGCACAGCGATGTGCAAGCAGCACATGCAGCATTGCAGGATGTGCAGCATTGCAGGATGAAATGCTCAGGGCCATTTTTTTGTACCCTGCCCGTTCCCCCGGGCGAAGGCGCGCGTGTCTCGGTGCCGTCGGCGCCGCGTGCTCGACTCTCGGAAAAAGCGGGCGCGAAGCGCAGTCTCCCAGGGCTCTGGCCCGACCCTGCGCACGGAGGAGGAGACGGACCGCGGGGAGGAGCGGAGAGGGGGGAGAGAGGGGGGGGGAGACAGAGGGGCGACAAAGGGAGAGGGAGAAGAAGGGAAAGAGAGAGAGAGCGAGAGGCAAAGAGAGAGGGAGAGAGAGAGAGAGAGAGAGAGAGAGAGAGAGAGAGAGAGAGAGAGAGAGAGAGAGAGAGAGAGAGAGAGAGAGAGAGAGAGAGAGAGAGAGAGAGAGAGAGAGAGAGAGAGAGAGAAGAGAGAGAGAGAGAGAGAGAGAGAGAGAGAGAGAGAGAGAGAGAGAGAGAGAGAGAGAGAGAGAGAGAGAGAGAGAGAGAGAGAGAGAGAGAGAGAGAGAGAGAGAGAGAGAGAGAGAGAGAGAGAGAGAGAGAGAGAGAGAGAGAGAGAGAGAGAGAGAGAGAGAGAGAGAGAGAGAGAGAGAGAGAGAGAGAGAGAGAGAGAGAGAGAGAGAGAGAGAGAGAGAGAGAGAGAGAGAGAGAGAGAGAGAGAGAGAGAGACAGACAGACAGACAGACAGAGGGCAGCGCCAGTGGTCCCCCGCCGACGGAGGAGGCCGCGGTCACCAGCATTTGGCGCGGCTGGTGCCTGAGAGCATGAGAGCGGCGCCCGTCCAATCAAGGCCGGGGCGGGGCGAAAGAGAGAAAATGAGAGACAGAGATACAGAGAGAGAGAGAGGGAGAGGACGCGGTGCAGAGAAGGAGGGAAAGCGAGGAGTGGCAATAGGGCGAGGCAAAGAAGAGGCAGGGGAAAGGAGGGAGGAAGCGCTGGTCGCCAAGCGCAGGCGAGGCGTTTCACCGGAAGTCCAACGCCCTCGCCCTCACCACGCCGGCGTTGGCGAGGTAGTCGGGCGGGCTGGGCTTCTTCTTGAACCCAAGCGCCCGCCAGTGCTTGCGAAGGCGGCCGCGCCGGGTGAGCTGCGCGTCGACGACGCGCGCCCCGCCCTTGCGCAAGCGGCCGCGCTTCTTCTGCTCCCGGGTCTCCCACCTTCGTGGGCCCACGAAGCGACAGAGCCATTCAGACCGCGCCCGAAGGCCGGAGCCAGGGCTCCGGCCTTCGGCACCAGGAAAAAGACAACCCCACGGAAGCGGGCAGAGCACGCTCCCGAGGACGGGGAGAGGACTGGGCCCGCGGGGAAGAAAAAGGAACCCGCCGTCGGAAAAACCGGCCCGGGAGGGAAAGATTTAGTTGTCATGTGGGCTAACGGCCCTGTGGCTTCGAGGGCCCGCTACGGGCGCACCGGCGGAGCTCGCACAGCTGGTCCTCGGTCTGGCTGACGGTGCGCCGTGGGCAGTACAAGTCTACGCCGAACAGCAGGGGCGTGAGGCTCTCGTGGACCGCGACGAGCCGGGCGGACCAGTCAGTGCCTGGGGCCGTGCAGCGCTCGAGGACCTCTTTGGCGCCGCCCCCGACGAAGGTGTTGGTGGTCAAAGAGAAGCCGCCGCGGGCGGCTGCCTCGGGGTTGACGGCCGTCACATCGCGCCCTATGAGCATCCGGTGCCACTCCGTGTTAACGAACAACTTCGTCCGGAGCGCTTTGTCCAAGGAGGTGCCGCCCATGACGGCGGCCGCCGTCTTGCTGAAGGCTCGAGACCGGAGCAGCTCGTCGAGCCACCCCGCCAACACGCGCAACTGGAAGCCGTACTTCTTCGTGTCGTGCGTGTCGGCGACGGTGCCGTTGGAGAGCTGTCGGTTGCGTTCGTTGTTGTACAGCTGCAGCTTGTAGCGCGGGTAGTGGCTTGGGATGTTGTGGGAAAGGGCAGCCTCCAGGAAGGTGGCTCGACTGAACGTCTTGCCCTCGGCCAGAGGCTGTCCAAACATCCGCTCGTAGTCGGAGAAAAGGGTCTTGCTGGCTCCGTCCGCGTTGAAGTGTAGCCGTGTGACGAACAGGTGCAAGAGTTGTTCAGAGAACTGGGTGTGGTGGAGGAAGTCCCTGAGGTACAAGTCCGTGGCGTTCAAAGCGAAGTTCGCCTCGCCACGAGCGTGCTCTGTCCACTCGTCGTGTTGTAAAAACTTCAGGACCTGGGGGTCCGAAGCCACCTTCTGGAAGAGTGCGTTCGCTGTTTGCTGGCCGTGGACTTTTTCCACTGTGCTTACCGCCGAAGCGTTCACGAACGCAGCCAACACGGCGACCTGGTGAAGCTGTTCTTCGTGGACGTTGCGGGCCCCTTGCCGAAGGCCCACGAGCCTCGCCGACGCGTCCGCGTCTTCGCCGCCATGCTCCTTGCACAGCGGGCGCGTGTGGTCCGCTGGGTCGAGGCTCCGCGTGCGAGAGCCACAGTGCTTGACCGAGCAGACATGACGTTTCGTCACACCTACCATGCCGGGCTGGCGGCGAACCCCGTGCTAAAAGGAGCCGAAAAGGCTCTGGAGTGCAAGTGCAAAACTGAGACCTAGCCAGGTCGGGCACGCGGCCAGGCGACAGCACCGGGATGCAAGAGTACCCTGAGTCCCAGTGGGAGGTCCCGTGCCCGTAGTCTCTGCTACTCCACGCATGGATCCAGGGTCGCGGCGGTCTCGTGCCCGTAGTCCCAGCAGCTCCCCGTGTGGATCCAGGGTCGTGGCGAACGCCGCCGCTCTTGTAGACAGCACCGGGATGCAAGAGAACCCTGAGCCCCCGTGGGAGGTCACGTGCCCGTAGTCTCTGCTACTCCCCGCAGCCGCTCTGGGTTGAGTGAAGACGGAGCGTGCACGAGGGGTGGCGGCAGACGGCCCATGGCCGACAGCACCGGGATGCAAGAGTACCTTGAGCTCCCGCGGGAGGCTTCGTGACCATGGACTCTGCTGCTCCCCGCGTGGACCTGGCCAGGGCGAACGGCCGCCGTTTCCCGAGGGGCATCCAGGGTCGCAGCTAACCGCCGCTATGACGTCGGGCTCGCCCGCGAAGAGCGGCAGGTGAACGAGAATGGGAAAGGGAAGGAGGGAGGTGAGATGAAGGAAAAAGGGGAGGAGGGACTCGGCGATGAGGACGACGACGATCGCCCGCGAAGACGACGGACGGCGACGGCGACGACGGCTCCTGGAGTCAGTGTTCGCCGCGTTGGCAACGGGGAGGAACAGCGCCACGGCAGGATGCCACAGCTCGCCCTCCCCGAACGTGCTGGTATGGGCTCTGTACCTCCAGGAGCTGGCGCCGACATCTGCGGGGCCGTCGTGGCAGCTCCTGTGACTGCATTGGGTCTCTCTTGAGAGCCGTCGGGGGCCTCTTCGGGCCGCCGTAGGTCGGCTTGGGTCCGTCTTGAGCAGTCTAGCCGTTTTGGGATTTCCTGGGGGTGTCTGGGGACCCTCTTGGGGCCGTCTTGGGCTGGCTTGGAACGTCGTGGGCAGTCTTGGGGCACTCTGGTGCCGTCCTGGGGCCTTCCTGGGGGCCTCATAGGAGGTCTCGGGGACCTCTTGGGGCTCTCTTGGGGCGGCTTGGGGCCGTCTCGGGGCCCTCCTGGGCCGGCTTGGGGCCGTCTTGGGCAGTCTCGGGGCACTCTTGGGCCGTCCTGGGGCTCTCTTGGGGGCCTCACGGGAGGTCTCGGGGACCTCTTGGGGCTCTCTTGGGGCGGCTTGGGGCCGCCTTGGGCAGTCTTGGAACACTCTTGGGCCGTTCTGGGGCTCTCTTGGGGGCCTCATGGGCGGTCTTGAAACGAGTCGCGGCGCCTCTGGGGCCGTTCCGGCTGGAAAGAGCCCGAACCGGAAATATCGTCAAAAATCAATGGAAAATTAATGTTCTTTGCCTCGTGAGGCTTTCTCGGGGTCGTCAAGAGAGCCTCTGGGGCCGCTCGGGCCTGTAGGGGACCTAGGGGGATTGTTTCGGAGCTCGCTCGAGGCTCTCGTGGATCCGTGGCGAGCGGGCGAGGGCCCTTCGGGGAGCGCCGGCGACGGACCAAGGCCGTTCCGGGAGCGCCGGCGACGGACCAGGGCCCCAGGAGCGGCCCAGGAGCGCCGGGGGCCGGGCCGAGTCCACTCGAGGGGCTGTTGCACGCACTGATCCCGGTATTGTAGTATAGACTAGGGCTGACCCGTGGACTCCGTCCACGACATCTTTCTGGAATGGTTCTCGGAGGAACGGCGCAGATTGTACCGAAAATCTACAAACACGGCGGCGGCTCGGGCGGCGGCAGCGAGACCGCGCCTTCGTGTCCGAGCTCTTGCAGCGCTGCAGCAGCT